TGTGGTGTTTGCTTCTGGTGCCACATTGAAGAAGCCAGTAAGCTGGAAGCCATCTAGAAATGGCTGGTGCCATATGAAGACTGGCTAAAGGACCTGGGGAGATTTAGCCTGAGGAAGAGAATTTGGGAACTCCTGAGAGCTCCCATGGGTGGGACAGAATGTCTTCTGTTTGGTCCCAGAAGGCAGAACCAGGAACAAGGTGTGAGAGTACAAAGAGGCTGATTGAGGTTGGACAGATGCTACTGATGTGAGGGAAAGCTTCCTAACCATGCTACTGATGCCAAAGCAGAAGAGTACTTGACACTTGAGGTCTTCAAAGGCTGGAATGTTGCAGGGGACATTGCTGGTTGGGGCTTGAGTGGGACAACCCTACAATGAGGTACCTTTCATGTCTGACATTCTGCAATGCTGCAGGTGATAGGGGGTGCCAATAGGTTGCACCCCCTTGGACCAAAACTGGGAATCTTGAAACTGAAGGATCTGAGCGAAAGCAGCCTCCCCAGCCTGGAGGCCCTAGTGAAAAGTCCAAACTCTACCTTGTTAGAATAATTTTAGCCACGCTTCTTTATATGTGTGATGCAGCCTGGCAGAGTAGGTAAAGTGCTCAGCTGGGAGTCAGCAAGACCTGGGTTCAGATCCTGCCCTGCCACTTCCTTAGACCATGTGTGCCCTCAGGCAATCTACTTAACCTCTTCAGGGCTCAGTCTCTGTGGTGTCTTTTGGTTCCAAGCTATCAACCAAGCAACCATTCAATCAACATTTCTTGAGCATTTCTCCTTTGCAGGACTGTGCTAAGCAGCAGGGGATCCCGAGATCCCATGATGCTCCTAAATCTTCGACAAGTCACGCTTGTCGTTACTGGAGGACATTTGTTCTCCAAGCTGATGAAATCATAGCTCTGCTGTCATTTAGAAATTCTTTCCTTCCAGGTCGGACAACAAAGTCATATGGAAGGCCTGTGTGCTCCACCTCCTTTTCCCTCTATTTCATTTCTAAGAGTCATTCTTCATGCCACATCCATGTGCTTCTGAAATTATCAACAAGCATTTATCAAGTGCCTACTACATACCAGGCACTGTGTGAGGTGCTGGAGATAGAATGACAAAAGCAAAGCAAAGCAAAACAAAAACAGAAACCCGAGCCAGCCCCAGTTTCCAAAGAGTTGCCATTCTAGGAGGGAAACAACTGGTACACTGATCAAAGAAATGCAAACTAGGCAGACGCTACTAAGTCCTAGCAACAGGAACATTTCCTGCCCTTGAGGAGCTTCCATTCCCCTCACGTGTGCATGGAGAAGTACACGCAGAGTAAATGATATGGAGGCTGGGGGAAGGGCGCTATTAATCAAGAAATGCCTGAAGAAACTGACCCTTGAAGGGAGCTAGTGTTCCAAGAGGACCAGGGGACAGTGTGGACTTGAAGGTGGGAGACAGAATATCATTGAAAGGAACTGGTTGGAACCAGAATGAATGAGAGTGAGCTTAGAAAGATAGTCTGCAACCAGAGAATTTGGCGATCTCAATGTCAAACCAGAGTTTGGATTTTCTCCAAAGGCAATGAGAAGCCCCTGAATCTTCTTCTTCTTTCTTTTTCCCCCTGAATCTTCTTGAATCATGGAGTGGCATTGTCAGACTTGGGCTCCATTCGAGTCCATCGTCCTTTGTCAGGCACCAGTCGTCTCTTACCTAGCCCACTTCCCTAGCATCCTAATTGGGCTTCCCAGCTCTTGTCTTTGCTCTCTCCAATCAGTCCTCCACAGAACTGCAGAATAATCATCTTCCTCTTGGCTCCCTAGTGCCTGCAGGATGAAATGCAGATTGCTCAGGCTGCCTTCTAGTCCTTTGCAATGGAGATCTCAGCTGCCTTTTCAGCTTTCTCTCACCTTTCCACTCTCCTTCATATACTCTGTTCCATCCAAATGGCCTGTTGGCTTGATCCAGACCTGACCATCATCTGTGGCTTCTCCTCCTTCAGACAGGCTGTGCCCGGTGACTGGCATGCACTGCCCCCTCATATCTGCCTCTTAGAATCCTTATCCTCCTTCAAGCTTCAGCTTAAATGTCAGCTTCTCTGGAAAGCCTTCTCGGATAGCCCCGAACCTTGTCTCGAGCCCCAGAAAAGACAACCCAGGACCCTGGGCCAACATTCCCCACCTGCTGCTCGGGCAGATAAGCCCAAGAGACAGAGAATAGCAGGGTTCTCTGGAATTTGAATGCTTGGCAGTTTAGTTTGAGAAAGGACCTCAGTGTCTGGTACCTTATCCTTAATCTTCCTAAGACAATTAAAATGGAAGCAATTCAGTTACCTGGCATGGCGCTGGTATACTGTCCAGGTTTCACAGGCGTACAACAATAAGGTCAGCACAACAGCTCTGTAGACCGTCAGTTTGGTAGTCAATCTAATACTTCTTCTCTCCCACATTTTCCTTCAGAGCCTCCCAAACACTAAGCTAGCTCTGGCAATGCACGTGTCTACCTCATTATTAATGTGTACATCCCTGGAAAGTACACCACCAAGGTAAGTGAACTTGTCCACAGCATTCAAAACTTCTCCATTTGTTGTAACCGATGGTTCCACATATGGGTGGTGTGGTGCTGGCTGGTGGAGCACCTGGGTTTTCTTGGTGTTAATTGTTAGGCCAAAATTAGCACAAGCAGCAGAGAAAGGATCCATACTTTGTTGCATCTCATCTTCAGAGGCTGCACTGAGTGCACAATTATCTGCAAACAAAAAAGCATGCACCAACACTCCCTCCACTTTGGTCTATGATCTTATCAGTATGACAAAGTGGTTCCTGAGACCTAAGAGGGTGGAGGCCTCCCTCTGATATAGAATCTGAATGGAATTCAGGATAGAAGGTCTAGAGGTTCCCAAACTTATCTGGCCTACTGCCCCTTTAAAAAAAATTACTTAGCACTCCTCTGGAAATCTACCTTCTTTAATTCTTTAACCTTTTTTAAATTTGCATCATTTCAAACAAAAATTTTAAATGAAGCATCTTAAATTTAATAATTTTTTGTTAATTTATGTTTTTTTCCTATATTGAAATTTCGATGATGCAATATTGCATCATGTAACTATATAGTATTGAATTGTAAACAAGTCATTACAGGCACATATTCCTACTGATACATTCTGGACTTCCTGACAATGCACAACATGCTGGCCTGCCAACACTTGCTTGTTAAGACCTGTTAGCAGACTTGGCCACTAACTGATTATAACTTGCATTTTGTGTGTTTATTTAGAAAAGAATGTAATCACTATGACTTTAACCCTGTTACACAACAGATGAAATACGTATGAATGGTTTTTCAATATTTTCTTCTCTTCTTTCCTTACACTTCCACCGCCTCCTTATTTTTATTCAACACCCCCCCCATTGCACCTGAGTCTACTCCCCCCTCATCATTCCAGCTTCCCCCCCCAGGGGGCAGTATTGCTCACTTTGGGAACATGGTCTATATGGGAGCATGTGTGGGAACATGTGCACTATACTTCCACAACACTGCAGGCTAAATTTCTTTGACTTCTAAGGCTACTCTTGGCACAGTTCAGGGGAAGGAGTGGGGATGCTTTCCCCAAACTCTCAGCACACAGGTGCGGTTCATTTCCTCCGCAGAAGCAAGCACAAGAAGTGACCTATATTCATGTCAGTTGGAGTGAAACCAGGCTTGGATAAGTGCACATGCCATCACAATCCCATCGAGCATCATGATGTATTTAAAATGTCCACAGATAGCTGAGAGGCAGGGAGTGTGGGGAAATCTGATTAGGAAAAGGACCAAAGAGCAGCAGTACAGTAGGGTGAAAAGTGGACTGGATCCACAAATCAGGGACCTGGGTTCCAGTCTCTGCTCTGCCACAAACTAAACTAGCTGTGCGACTTTGGCCCAGTCATTTCTTCCCTCTCTCGCTGGGACTCAGTTTCTTCAGCACCTGGGGGGACCTGTCCACCTCTGTAGCCCTAAAAAGCAGCAGGTGGTTAGACACTGGAGAAGGGAGATCAGGAGACAGAGCGGAAGGAGAGGCTGGGAAGGAGGTGAAGAAGTAGAAAAGTCGATGAGGATGAGAGGAGGGGAGGGGCTGCGGAGACCTTCCACGGGGGGGGGGGGGGTTCAAGCAGAAACAGTCAAATCAATAGTTAAACCTTTTCTGGGCCAAGGGAGGGTCTGTGAATACGAGGAAAGACTGGAAAGCTTCCCCATAGGAAAGTGTGTGGACGGGGACGTGTGTGCAAAGTTCTTCAAGGCTCCTGGGGCCATCGGCCCCAACTTCCACTTCTCCGAGGCCCAGAGAGAGGAAGGGACGCGCCTAGTCCCTATGGAACGCCCAGCAGGGCTGGGTGGCCCAGGAGGGAGGGGCATGCCCAGAAGGGGCGGGGCACGCCCAGAAGGGGAGGGGCAGTGCCAGAAGGGGCGGGGCACGCCCAGAAGGGGCGGAGCACGCCTAGAAGGGGCGGAGCACGCCCAGAGGGGGAGGGGCAGGCCCAGGAGGGGCGGAGCACGCCCAGAAGGGGCGGAGCACGCCCAGAGGGGGCGGGGCACGCCCAGAGGGGGAGGGGCACGCCCAGAGGGGGCGGGGCACGCCCAGGAGGGGCGGGCTTTACCGCTGACCCGGCCACTAGAAGGCGGGACGCGCCTGGCCTCTAAGCGATGCCCAGCCGGGATGAGCAGAGCAGGTGCCAGGCCTCAGACCCAGCGCAGCCACGTGCCAGGCCGAGCACGGTCAGAGCAGAGGTCCCAGTCTCTCCCACCGGCCCCTAAGGACGCTCACGCCGGGAGGGGCGGGCAGGGACCCAGCCTCGCCCTCCGCCATTGGGCCCCCGCGGGCGCAGGCCCCGCCTCCGGGGCGTGCAGGGGGCCACGCCCGCCGGATCGAGGCCCCCCCTAGGGGCGGGGCCATGGGCGGAGCCACGGGCGGGGCGTGGAGGAATGGAGGGAAGGCCGAGGAAGGGGCGAGGCCGCGCGCGGGGGCGGGGCTCAGGCCCAGGGGGCTCCGGGCCCTGACCGCATGGAGCGGGGCGCGCTGGCCGGACTGAGGCGGCGGCCTGCGGAGGAGGAGCGGGGCGGCCCCCGGGACGCGGTGAGGCACGGCGGGGCCCGGGGTGTGGGGTGGGGGGCTCAGGAGATGGGGCGCCCTCCCCTTCCTCCTCCTCCTCCTTCTCTTCCTCCTCTTCCCCTCCCCCTCCCTCCCTCCAGACCTCTCTGGGAGTCCTGCGGCCTCTGGGACCGCCCCAGGTTTGGCATTGTCCCCCGGCCTGACCGCAGGGCTGGGGGAGGGATCGGGGCTCTCCCTTTGCCTCCTTTCTCTGCGGGGTTAGTGGGGCTTGGCCGGCCATTCTGCACATTGGCGGGGGGGGGGGGGCCGCGGCCAGGAGGAGGCCCCTTCCCCCAAACAGGGCTTGGGCCCCCCGCCCCGGCCCGCAGAGCACTTCCCCTCACCTAGGAAACCCCGTGCACGGCGAGGAGTGGGGATCCCGAGGTCCAGAGTGGGACGCTTTGGGTCACTAAGCTGGGGGGGGCACCTCGCCCCAAACCCCGCAGCTCCCCCCCCAGTCCTAATTCAGGGTGGGCCTGCCACTGAAAGGGGGTCCAAGGTGAGATGCCGGGCGCCCGGACTGCGGTGCGGGCGGGGCGGGGGCACCGCTGGGCCCTGGCAGCGGCCCTGCCCAGGGAAAGGGCACTGTGCACTTGTCCCACACACTTCCTCATCCCCAGGCCGCCGATATCCCGCCGGCCGCCCTGCTGGCTGCAGGGCCCAGCGCACCCTCCTGGCTGGCCTAGCCTCGAACTCAGGGCTTCGGGGCGCCTTCTGCCGCACGAAGCTTTTGTACGAGTCAGCCAGAGAACTCGCTCCTCGCTCACACTGAGCCGAGGGTGGGGGGCAGAGCCGGAGCCCACCGATTCCGATTCCGATTCCGATTCTGATTCCGGCTGCCTCTTCCACTTCTCGGTTGATTTCTCTGCGCTGTCTGTGTCATGAAGTGCTGAAGGAGCCTCGTGGCAGGGCGGGCAGTTGAGGATGCCTCCTGATTAGATACCCGTAACCTGCGGGGATCACAGAATTGGAGAAGCAGGGCTAGACCTGGGTGTGTGCGAGTAAGCTGAAAAAAGGGCACCTTTGAATTCTGCTGTTTGGGGCGGGAATGAGGGGGCTTCGAATTTGTTTGGTGAGCGCTTCGGTTTCGGTTGGGGAGAGAGGAAAGGCAGCCAGCAATTCAGAGCTGCCATGTGCCAACACTCGCCAGCCAGGGGGTTTCCTTCCCCTCCACCCATGCCTTGTCTGCTTCTGTCTGGAGGTAGGCTTCTTGAGGGCGGGGTCGGACTTACTTGCTTTTATATGTATCTGGTTCAGCACTATCCTGGCAACACACTAAAGGCTTCTTTTTTTAAAAAATTAATTTATTCTGATTTATCAACAATCACTTCCGTAAGTTTTTGAGTTTTAAATTTTTCTCCCCCTCCCTCCCCAAGATGGCGCACAATAGGCTATACATATACATTCCTATTAAACATATTTTCACATTAGTCATGTTGTAAGGAAGAATTAGAACCAATAGGAGGAACCACAAGAAAGAGGAAACAAAACAAAACAGAAGAAAAAAAAGAGCAAATAGTCTGCTTCCATCTGCATTCAAACTCCGTAGTTGTTTCTTTGGATGTGGGTAGCATTTTCCATCATGAGACTTTGGGAGATGTCTTAGATCCTCGCATTACTGAGAAGGGCTAAGTCTATCAAAGTTAGTCATCACGCAACGTGGCTGTTACTGTGTACAGCGTTCTCCTGGTTCTGCTGTCTTCACTCGGCATCAGTCCATGCAAGTCTTTCCAGGTTTTTCTGAAATTGACCTGCTCATCATTTCTTATAGCACAAAGGTATTCCATCATTTTCATATACCTCAACTTGTTCAGCCATTCCCCAATGATGAGCATCCCCTCAATTTCCAATTCTTGGCCACCACAGAAAGAGCTGCTAAAAATATTTTTGTACATGTAGGTCCTTTTCCCATTTTTATGTTCTCTTTGGGATACATACCTAGAAGTAGAATTGCTGGGTCAAAGGGTGTGCACATTTTTTTTTCAGTCAAAGACAATGTTTATTAGAACATTCATCATATTGGGGAGACTCTTAAGGAATCTGAGAGTCTGTGAGTTATTGGTTAGATTATAAGAATCTGAGCAGTGGCTAGATTTTAAGAATCTGAGTACCTTAATGGAGACAAGATGGACCTTATATACAGAAAGACTGTGGGAGGGATCTAGGAGTGGCCAAGTGGTTTGTGGTGACTAGAGTGCCTGGGACCTGGACCACATGGCCAAGGAAGAATGGAGCCTAGCTAGGATTAAGGGTGGGAAGTGGCCTGGAGCCATAGGGAGGTAAGACAATGGAGGGCTAGGCTAGGAAAAGGGTAACAGAGAATTGGAAGATTGGGTTTTAGCCACTATGAAAGGCCAGTTGATGGGATTATAGCCTCAGGTGAAAGCCAGAGATTTGGCCATTTGGGAAAGTCCAGGGTTTTTCCTTTCTGGGGTCCAGATCCGAGCCCCATCATTCCCTCCTCAAACAAATGGGACCCAAATTCTTTTGGGTAAGGGGCAAATGTCTCAGCTTCTGAAACTGCTTCCTGCTGGCCAGGGGCAGAGAGCTGTCCCTTCGAGGAATTCACAAAGAGGGTGTTGACTGGAATGGAGCAAAGGCTGCACCCAGGGAATGATGGGGGGACATTGGCTGGTACCCGTTGTTTGCTATCAACTGTAGGTGAGTGGCCTGTAGTCTGGAAGACACAAATCTGACAGAAAAGACTGCAGGGCCCAGATATAGTGAGAAGTAAAAGTGTTTGGAGTGTAAGAGCCCCATTAAAATCATTTCCATTTGACCTGCAGGATTATCTGATCTTGCTACTCTCTCTGAAGTTTAAGTAATACTTCTGCAGGTTAAAGTTTTCCACCCCTGCAGTATCAAATCCACCTTATTGCCAGACTCAGGAATAGCCAGGTGGGTAACATTCCATTTCAAAGGAACATAATGGGGAAACTGAGCCAGAAGGATCCCATCTTAGACTGAGGCTAAGATTGTCTTCTCAGCTTTTGCCAATGCTGACTTCTCACCAGTATCATATTCTCTGAGTAGCTTGTGGCATTTCTCTCAGATGGTGGATTATTGACTATTGATGGATTATTATGATCCATCAGACAACTCAAAATAAAATCCTGTGAGCTCTATCTCAAACAGCAAGTTTCACTAATCGTAGCGTAGGAAAAATTTTTCCAGGATTTATATCTCAAACTTAAATTTGTCCTGGTGTAAAAAACCAATCATTAGAGATTATTTCTATATACTTGCAAATTCTCAGCAAGACAAAACCCAAACAAGCTTTTTGGCAAGTTTACACATTAAAACAATAACCAACAATAAATGAAATTATTTTAGCAGCAACCAAATTATGAAAAGATGCTTGACATAACTGATACAAAAAGTTCACCAGTTTGGAAGTTGGAACAAACCCATTATTAATGAGGTCACTTCAGTTTTGTTAAATGCATTTCCAGGGGCAGCTGGGTGGCTCAGTGGATAGATCACCGGTGCTGAAGTCAAGAAGACCTGAGTTCAAATGCGGCCTCAGACCAAACACTTGTCATTTACTAGCTGTGTGACCCTAGGCAAGTTACTTAACCCTAATTGCCAAAAAAAAAAAAGACTAATAAATGCATTTCCAAATTACTTTACACAGAGAATCAGCATCTCATCATTAACAGTTAAAACTACAACTTTAAAAGAAGCCAAGTTCAGAGGCCAGCTTCTTTACCTTGAGCAGGATATGCTGAACCTGGGTGATGCTTCCAGACAAAGGCTGCCCCAGGGCCCAAGGCCATTGCCAGTGGGGCCCATGCTATAGCTGATGCCCCTCCCTCCTCCTTCCTTTCCCCAGGTGGTGGAGGGTGAAATCAAAGGTGAGGGGTAAAGGGAGAAAATCTCTTCTCCTATGAGAGGGGTAAACAGATATCCTCTTGACTCAAGGGAAGGGAGTGACCAGGGTTGTAAGGAGGTGTTTCTTTTTTTTTATGGTAATTTTAATTTATATTTTTGTTTCGAACATTTACTTCCACAAGATTTTGAGTTCCAAATTTTCACCCCATCTCACCCCTCCCCCCACCCCAAGATGGCACGCATTCTGAATACCCTTTCCCCTAGTCTGCCTTCCCTTCTATCTCTCCCGCCCCCTTCTCTTATCCCCTTCCCTTTCAATTTTCCTGTAGGGCAGGATGGATTTCTGTGCCCCATTTCCTGTATTTCTTATTTCCAGTTGCATGTGAAAACATTTTTTTTTAAACATGTGTTTTTAAAACTTTGGGTTCCAAATTTTCTCCGTTCCTCCCTCCCCACCCACCCTCATTGATAAGGCAAGCAACTAAATATAGGTTATATTTGTGCAATTATGCAAAACACTTCCAGAGTAGACATGCTGTGAAAAACTAACTCTATTTCCTTTAATCTTATCCCGCCCACCCCATTTATTCTATTCTTTCTTTTGATCCTGTCTCTCCTCAGAAGTATTCACTTCTGATTACTTCCTTTCCCAATCTGCCCTCCTCTCTATCATTCCCCTACTCTCTTGTCCCCTTCCCCCCCTATTTTCCTGTAGGATAAGACAGATTTCCACACCCAATTGAGTGTGTATGTTATTCCATCCTTAAGTCAAATCCTATGAGAATAAGATTCACTCGTTCCGTCTTACCTTCCCCCATTTCCCCTCCACTGTAAGAGCCTTTTCTTTTCTGTTTTTTTTTTTTTTTGTGGGATAATTTACCGAGTTCTACCTCTCCCTTTCTTCTTCTCCTAATATATTCTTCTCTCACCCTTTAATTTTATTCTCCAGATGACCCCTTCATTTTCAACTCACCCTGTGCCCTCTATCTATCTATATCTATATATACGTACATATAATTTTTTCCCCTCCAACTACCCTAATACTGACAAAGGTCTCATGAGTTAGGAATATCATCTTTCCATGCAGGAATGTAAACAGTTCAACCTTGGTAAATCTCTTATGATTTTCTCTTTCCTGTTTACCTCTTCATGTT